CAGGTTTGGGTGGTGATGTTTCAGAGAGGGTGGACTTCTCCCTCGGTCCCGAGGGCAGGAGTCCTCACTGCTCTAAAGCAAGGGATGACAAACTACGGTCTGCTAGCCAAATCTGGCCTGCGACTTGTTTTTGTATGACTTCAAGGCATAAGAAGTGTTTTTTTTTTTTTTTATAGTTTTAATTAGTTGAAAAAAAACCCAGAAGAATAATGTTTTGTGAGAGGTATGAACTTTGAATTTCAGTGTCCGCAGATAGTTATATTGGAACGCAGCCACACGTATTTGTTTCCAGTGTCTACAGCTGCTTTGGCTCTACAACAGCAGAGCTGAAGAGATGTGACAGAGATCATATGCCCTGTAAGGCCTGAAATATTTACTGGCTGGTCCTTTCAGAAGTTGTTTGCTGACCCTGTTCTAAACCGATCATGCTAACACCATTCTTCTCCCAGTGTTTACTTTTGGGAGGAACATGAGACCCAGTTCCAGGTCAATGAAACACAAGAGGAAGCCTGACAGAGGGCTTCTGGGAAAGACTGTTTTCTCTGATGAAAGGGAGATGCTTCCTTTCTGCCTTTGGACGTCACATGTGAGGACGTGATAGGCAGAGCCATGGCAGCCACTTTGTAATCATGAGGAAAAAGCCAAGAGAACCACAGAGAAGCTGACCCAGATACTGTTAAGCTGTTAAATTAACCAACACTGGAAACTCCTGCTTCTAGATTTTTTTAATATTAAAAATAAATATACTGATAGTTGGGCATTCTGTTACTTGTAGCCAAATATGTCCTAAAGCACATCATGTGAGAAAATGATTTTTTAAATTAATAATATTTCCCTAAATTTCTGGAGATGCAATAAGAATTTATTTGAGAATTTGAACATTTGTTGACTTTATGATTTATATTATATCAGCAAAACATCATTTACCATGTTATTAAATAGAATGCAATTGCATCATTTGGTACAACTTTTCATCTGCTATTTCATTTCTATTTACAAATTTTAAAAAGCTATGCTGATAATGCAGAGAATATAAAGTCTCAAATAATATGCAATAAGTTATTGGTAGCAACATTTGGAAGGTCGGACTGAGGTGACTTCTTCCTCTATTTTTGATATTTTAATAATTTTTCAAGGATCATATGCTATTTTAAAATTGAAATAAGAATATTATCAAACTATTAAACCTGTAATAATTCCTTAAAAAAGACACAGTATCTAATGATGTAAAAGTACGTGTGTCTTCCCTGTGAA